AGCCCAGAAATATTAAAATCTGACTTCTTATCAGAAACAAAGGAGGCAAGAAGAAAATGAGATGCCATATTCAAAGTACAGAAAGAAAAATGATCAACCAAGAATCTAGCAAAAGTTTTTCCATCTACATGTATCTCAAACCCAACAATACAGTGTGATAATTATTGCTTTATATGATTTTATGTTTGACATCTTTTAAGGTAGTTGAGGAAGGAGAGCAGAGCAAGTATATATTTAAAGAACTTATTATATTAATTTTCTTTATACCATTTCTGATCCTCTTCATTTCTTATTGTAGATTCAAGTTACGATTTGATGTCATTTCTGTACTCCAATACAACTTTGTTCCTGCCTATCTCCTTTGTGCTACTATTACCAAATACTGCATTTTGTGTGGTATAAGCTTAGTCATATAATTATATACATATCATTTTATGCAATTGCTGTCTAAGTCAATTAAGAGAAGAAAGGAAAAGAAATATACAGTTATACTATATTTTAATTACCTACATAATTACCTTTGCTGGTGTTCATTGTTTTTCTGCATTGATTCAAATTACTACCTGGTGTCACTTGCTTTCAACCTGAAGAAGCTCCTTTAGTATCTCTCGTGAGGTAGTATTCTAGCAACAATCCCACTTTATACCTGTCAGTATGGCTGTAATAAAAAAGGATAAACAATAACAAAAGTTGGTGAGGAGGTGAAAAATTGGAAGCCTCATACCGCGCTGGTGAGAATTTAAATGGTACAGTCATTTTGGAATCAAGTTTTGGCAGTTCCTTACAAGTTTGTTACCATATGGCCCAATAATTGGCCCTCCTAGGTATCTACCTGAGAAAAATGAAAACAGATGTCCACACACAAAAAAACTTTATGTTAATGTTCATAACATTATTTATAATAGCCAAACAACCCAAATGTCAGTCAAATGAAAAATGGACAAAAGGTGCTATATCCATACAATGGAATACGATTTGGCAATAAAAACAAATGAAGTAATGATACATGCTATGACATGGTTGAAACTTGATAACACTATACTAAGTAAAAGAAACCAGTTATAAAAAAATACACATATTACATGATTCCACGAAAAGTCCAAAGTAGGCAAATCCATATGTAGAGAAAGTATATTAGTGATTCCCAGGGCCTGGGTGGAGATGGGAATTGGGAGTGACTACTAATGAGTACAGAGTTTCTTTGGGGCGGGGGTTGATAAAAATATTCTAATGTTGGATAGTGGTGATGGTTGCACAACTCTGTGAATATACTAAAACCCATTGGATAGTATATTTTATTTTTTTTAATTTTTAATTTTTAATTTATTTTACTTTATCCAGAATTCAAAATTTTTAGTAGATAAACTGGTGAAATAAGTGGAGAGATGATGGGGATGATCAATTTTGCATCTTTAGTTCTTTAAGGGTGGCACTAATATTTCCCTTTCCCCCTACCCTTGTTGGATGATATATTTTTAAAGTCAGTAGTATATGCGGACTTTGAGATAATGTGTTTTTTTTCTGGGTTACACATGGCTAATTTTTCTTGGGAAACTGAGGAAGTTGAAGTTATCCATGATCATCTCGTAATAGAACCAACATAATGGGACCTCATTTTATTGAGGCTTTTGAAAGTTGAAAAATATATAAATGCATTTAAAAATGTTTCCTTTGTATCTACTTGACATGTACTGTATCTGGCTTTTCTGTTATAATCAGAACTGGATTAGCAATAGCAGTAATATCCTTATTGTCATTTCTCTTTCATAATCCGCTTGTCTTTTCCTATGATTCTTTAGAAGTCATCTGTCCTCCACCAAATGTTAAATATGGAAAGTTAGTCTCTGGATTTGGACCCATCTATAATTTCAAAGACTCCATTGTATTTGACTGCAATAAAGGTTTTATCCTCAAAGGCAGCAACATAATCCATTGTGAAGCTGACAATACCTGGAATCCTCCTCCTCCCATTTGTGAGCTCAGTAAGTATGAACCATAAAGGAACTTCAATGTTTGGCATCTAAAGATACCCAGAAATGTTGGTAAGGGCATATTCATATGCTGAAGCCCATTTGAATCACAGCAAAAATTTAAATTTAGATAAATAATTTTATTTATTTTTTTTCTTGTTGGTAAAAAGACTGATTATAGTACACTGTGCAGTATCAATATAACATCACAAAAGACCACCACATACCATCGTGCAGGTTGTACTCCAACCCTACGAGGAGACATTAACATTGTAGACATTGTGGATTAAGCGTATTTATTTCAACAATTTTCTTGCAATCAATAGAAAATTTTGTCCTGACAAAATCATTATATTATGATAATTGTTTTGAAAGATAAATAAGAAAGTGTCCTGAGAAAAAATGCCTTTTTCTAACTTGCACAACAGTATTATATGGGCTAACTATGATTATGACATTCTGAAATTATAAACTCATGTGGATCATTAAAAATAACATTAATAGTAATAACTATTAATGTTATTATGAAGTTGTTATTATGAT